AAGGACACGAGTCACTCACAGGCCTGGAACTGCTCCTTCCGCCAGTCTACAAAAGAACCACACATTTTTAATACATTTTATTTATTAGTAGTATTATTTTAAAATTTACTGTAGGTCAGATGTTCCCACCAGAGAGAGAGAGAGAGAGAGAGAGAGAGAGAGAAAGTAATAAAGCAAGCCACCAGGTCCAGGACTCAAACCGTGGCTGGCTATGTGGGAATCCAGTGTCTTCACCACCGCCCGCTGCCCCCAAACCACACATTCTATATCAGGGATTTGAGAGACTAAACAGCATCAGTACCTAGACTTCCAAAACAAAGTCATCCTGGAAGCTCTCAGTGTCTGTGGCCTATTCCTGGGGAAGGCAGAGGACTAGCTATAATATTTTGGGGCTCTCCCATATCTATAGGGATGTTTTTGCTCCCACTGGTGTCTGCCTTCTCTCTGAATGTGTGTGTTTCCTACTTTGAAATTCCCTTTCTCCCATCCCAGAAACCTCTCCATTGTCTCTGTGTGTATATGTGTGTGTGCGTGCACACGCATGCACCATAGGGCGCATACACTTGCTGAGAGAAACAAAGAGAGGATAAGTGAGAAATCACCCTCCCAAGGGGCATTCATACTACAGTCCCTTCTTTTCCACTCTCCTCCTGGTATTTCGGGAATGCACACACACTCACCAAGCATGATATTCATCCACCAGGTCCAGGACTCAAACTGCGGTCCACTATGTGGGAATCTAGCGCCTTAACTACCACCTGACTTTCTGGCCCCTCCATTGCCTCAAGGCAAGATTTATAGGAGTTATAGGGAGATGTGTTTTCAGCACACTGGGCTAATGTATTTATCATATGCACACACAAATACACACAGACACACACACACACACACACACACACACACACACACACACAAGCAGAAGCCATAAAGCTTAATACCCAGGGACTGAGAGGCTGGGTACTGACCTCAGTGGAAAAGTCATTACCTGGTCAAATTATTCAAATTATTCTTTCTCAAGTTTCTAGCCACACCATCATTCTGAAATCTTGATTTGTTGAGAAATACTGGGAGAGATTAAAATTTCCAGCATCCATTTAATTACAAATAACCACATTTACAGATTGCTGAAAACCATGAGTAGAGAGAATTTCATCTGACTAGGCTGAACTTGGAGAATAGTTGTGAGTGAGGAGGACTCAGGATACGGAATCAGAGAAATCCTGCCCAGTTAACAGGCATCAGAGAGGTCTTGGATGGGAGAAAGGAAAGTTCAAACAGGAAACACACATTCAGTAAAAAGGCAGACACTAGTGGTTTTTTTCCCCTTTTCATGGGCTGTTGGGAGCAAAAACATCCCTATAGCTAACCAAAAAGCATTGCACCTCATCATCAGTCTTCCCCAAGAACTGCTCATAGATTGCTCCAGGATAAACCTTTTTTTTTTGGAGAGTTTT